GAATCAGTCTGTTTGAATTTACTGCGCAAATAATATCTAAACTTGCGTACAGCGTTGCCAAGTTGTTTTTATCTAAATCACTAGAATGTATACTTTTTTACAAATTGTTGAACTTTAAACGGTTATTTATAAACAATTTTTTATTATTTTTTTTTAAACTCAGCAAAAATACATTAAAAGACTGTTAGTTTTTTTAAAGCTTCTGACAGTTAGTTTTTTTATAACTAAGAAACTGGTACAGAACTACAGAAAGCGTATACACTGTTTAAAATTTCTGTGGTGTAAAAAGTAATCCTAAAATGGTGTCAAAATCCAACACCAAGTGGTGTTAATATAACACCATGAATTATGGTTGAAAATGAACACCAAAACGGTGTTTATCTAAAAATATTTGAGAAGTGCACCTACACAGAAAAAAAGAAATAGTTCATTTAACTATATTAATTTAGTTGACCCATAAGTATTTATTTTTTTGCGGATCACGTGATTTTCTTAAATCTCGCCTTTGTTGACTTACATGAAGAATATATAAGCTCATGTTGTCCTTTGCTTTGGTGTGACACTACAAGTTGTTCGATACTAGACCTTAAATAGGTGGAAACAGCTGTCAATACTTGAAGTATTTTAAGTTAGTGGAACGAACTAAAAACATTATCTCTAGCGAGGTGAAGGTTCCATTTTCTGGAATAATACCACTGGTAATGTACTAGTAATGCGTCAAGGAACTTCCTGTTTCCTTTTTTTTCCTTTTTTCTATGTAGTATGATTTAATTTGACCACAAACACATAATATTTAACACTGAAAAGGAGTTCAATTTACACCAGATAAAATTTATTTTAATACTGTGTGAAAGTTAAATTTACACCATTTTAGTATTTGAATTTATACCATTTTAGTATTTAAATTAACACCGGACCAACGAACCCTATTTAACACCATTTTGGTTTGTATTGATATGGACCAAATATGGTGTTAATTTGGTGTTAAAATGGTCATGAAATTTTGAACAGTGTACAATCCATGTTAATTATCCAATTTTTAATTGAATTTATCTCGGGTTATAGACGGTCAATCGATTTCAAACTTTAAGAATAATTGTATTGTCATTTCCTTAATAAATCCACATTTGTTTATACATATATCATCATCAGTGTTGCCAACCATACCGAATTTTCGGTTGATCTACTGATTTCTGAAAAATTCTACCGATCTACCGATATATCGATGTCTATAGACATCAATATTCTACCGAAAAAAAACAACTTATTTGGTGACACCCTGTATATAACTGAAGGTATATTTCAATTGCGGTCGATCGGTCAACGTTAAAGTTGATGGGCAATTGTCGACGATCTGTTAGCTAATAAATAAATATTAATCGACACATTACAAACAGTTAATGTTGCGGAAAGAGCGAAAATATAAATTTACTGCCGGGCAATGAAAAGCGTTCATTTGAAAGAACCGGGAAATTTACTATAATACCATTGATAAGCCGATATACCAAATTGACACATTTTTTATCCCTAACATTCTTTAAATATTTTTGTCAAATTTTCAAAAAAGTGCTTCTTGTTTGAAAAAAATTATGTACAAATTTTAGTGTTCAGGGCAGATTTTATAAATTTTTCTTTAAACAATAAAAAATATATAAAATCTGCATAACATTATTAAAACCTATATTTTGAAATTACTTAATAAAAACTTACAAACTATAATAATAAATCATAGTCAAATGTTGTAGTATTATAAACCAAATAAACTGTTATATTTTTATTAATAATTTATATAAATTTAAAACAAATTTAAAAGAATTGTTGTTTAGTATTTAATATTAGTGGTATTATAAAACTGTTTTGTTAAACTATGATACAGTCTTATATTTAATAAATAAATAAGTTTTATTCGTTTTTAGCAAAATTTCGACAATTTTTAAAGTTTAAAGTGCTGTTACCCAAACAACTTTTGTCCGATTTTTATGAAATTTACAAAATTCTGTAAATTCATTTATTTACTTTATTGTGTTGTTTCAAGATATTTACTTTCCTTTTAAATTTAAATATATAATTATTTTATTATAATTATTAAAATCGAACAACATTTTTTCGATAAATAGCACTTTAAACTTTAAAATTGTAAAATTTTATTACCTTAAAAGTAGGGTTTGAATATATATAATTTTTTGTATTTAAATTAGGACTCATAGCTTTATAACAGTATTTAATAGAAAAATATATACAGGGTAATCTATAACAAGTGTAACAAACTTCGAGAGTAGATAAAATACGTAAATATATGGCGTCCTTCAACGTATGTCAAAAAATGCCAGCTAAGCGAGATACAGGGTGTTAAAGTTAAAAATTAAAATAAAACAATACGTCCGAATTGTTTTATTTTTAAAGATGTTTGGAATTTAATTCTACCTGTATAGCGTGTATTTTACTAATCAAGACAAAAACTATCAAATGCTTAATAAAAACTGATAATTCTACCTGGGTAGCGTGTATGTACGCCTGTAACCTAGTAACTATCATTTCATTTCAGGACAGCGTATTTTCTAAAATTGCATAGCCTTTCTTTGCAACAAAATATTTAAAATATCTAATGATCAATTCTTACATAATTTTTAACGAGGAATTTAAAAAAATTAAAAAATTATCAAAAAAATAAGTAATTTTATTACAAATATGAGTTACTATATTTTTTAAATGTTTTAATATGATTGAGTAAAATATAGTAACTGTTAATCGACTAAAAGTTAAAATAAATAATTATTTAGGTTTTTACAATTTTATTTAGTAAAAATACAATTTAAAAAATCCATATAATATTAAGTAAAATTGAACATTTAGTTATTATGGTAAGTAAATCCAGAAAAATTTTTTTCTTTTATCTCTAAATAAGGGACAAAGAGTATTTAACATTGTTCCTTTTTTTTTAGTTTTTAACCCCAATGGTTCCAAATACTGTGCCACTGGTAGCTTAACTTTAAATTTGTTCTTCTGGACATATTTTGAACTTTCTTAATAATAAAACACCGTTATTACAAGTTACACACACTATTCCAAAAGTAAAACTAGTCTGGTAAAGTCCGATTTATTAAAAACAGATTTTTATTTATTTATTCGGAAGTGTGCAAATATATACATAAAGCTTAATATTAATTATTTAATAAATTTAAAATACTTCCGCCAACAGCAGCAGCTTTATTTCTATTGGAAAATACTTTGCGTTAAACCTAGCAACTTGAGTTACTAGCTTTTACTGGGTAAAATTTAAAAAATGGAACATTGTTGATAGTAACTTTTATTTTATTTTGCTTTAGGATACCAGTTTTTAGAAGTTACTAAAAATAGAGATAGACATTTTACAGCCACCGTTTTATAAAAAGAGATAAAAAATAGTTACTAGAGGTAAATTTGAACGCTAAAACCAAAAATGCCGTAATTTTTTAAAACCTAAAGTCTATTCAAATCCAAGCTGGACTAAATGTAAACACAATCCTCCGAATCGACCAATAAGAACTCACAATCCGAGTCACACCATCAGAATCGACCAATAAGAACGAGTTATCACGCGTCTGGGCGTTTTTGTTTAGTCCAGCTTGGGTTTGAATACACTTTAGTAACTTTAGTTACTATGTTCTAACAAATTACAGCAGCCCTGTGCACCACAATAATAAAATAATAAATTTTACTAATCGAGACAAAAACTATATAAGATCAGACAACAGTTTTAAATAATTTAATCTGAATCAAAACAGAAACACCCGTTCTACACACACTGACTGCAACATAAACTGCCACCCACCACATCTTCAGTTATGTGATATAAAACCACCAATTAGAGCCCATGCCCAATCTCCGATTCTTTCGCTTTAAGCAGAGACAAAAGCTAAACGGAACGTGTGGTAAAATAAATGTTTTGCAAAAATGGCGAATGCTCCAGGATTAATTATAATTAGTGAACAAATTATAAAAATGGGTTATTTAGTTTCTGGAAAAATAGCTTATACACAAACATACTGGAAAAACATAGCAACTTGCTTTTTTAAGTATGTTACCAAAGGAATGGTCACATACACGCAGATAAATGTATAGTAAATTTTAGATAGTAAAAAAAATATAGTAAAATTTACTTTAACAAATTTTTAGGGTAACAATATTATATATTCGTGAATTCAATATTAAGATTGTAATACAAAATACTATTTTTTATTATACAATTTTAGTAAAGATTACAACACCAATATTACTAAATAATAAATGTATAATATATATTTTAATTTTTAGTATGTTCGTATAGTAAATTGATTTAACCATCTACAAATAGTAATATTTACTATATGATTTAGTCAAATGTAAGGTGTACATCTAATATTATAATATATTACACATTAATAAAAAATAAAGTAAAAATAAAGATACTTTTATGTTTACAATATATACAAAAATATATTTAAATATAATATACAATATAGTAACTCATGACATTTTAAACATTCAATTTTCTTAGTTTCTTCAATAAACTTTCTTGACCCATTACTGGTAATACTTATAAGAAAGAATATTTATTTGAAGTTGATGGAACGCACTCATAACAAAAAACTTTGGCGAGGTGTGGGTTCAATTATTTCTCATAACATTTTTGTATATTAAAAAGTACAATAAATATGTTACAATTTTTAATTAAAAATATTCGATTTTAAAATATTTTATATTTAAAATGGCAACATAATATTTTAAAATTTACTATACTTATTAGTAATGGAAAAAATCTAATTATAATAAGAATTACAAACAAAATTGGTTGAGAATAATAATATTTTACCTTAAGGTTTAACATACATGGATATTTAAAAATTACTAAATATGCATAGTATCTGACAATATGTAAGATAGTTGTCCCAAATAGTAATATAAATTATAGTAAAGGGTATTATAATTATGGTAATCAGCATTATACTTTTCTCTCCGTGTAATACATAGTAAACACTTACTTTTAATGTTATGCGATGAGAGCGTGAAACGCAGCGAGTCAGCACCGCACTGTGGGATTCCTTCCGGGAACATTTTTTTGTGTCCGCGAACAGACCTGTCCAGCTCTTCTTCCGATAAAATGCCTGACGAATGGGCCGCCCTCGAACCCGCCTCCAAGTCCTGCAACGCGCAAACAAATCTTCAACAATCTCTCGTGCCTTGCCTCCGTAAATTACGATTAGAAATGTTAATTAGCCGGATGGGAATGAGTTATATCCGCTCTCGTCGAGTGTATTAGCTAGAAGAAATATGATACCTTCCCAAATTGTCTTCATCCCAAGCTAAATACAGGGTGTTTCACATTCGTATATTTTAAAATTTTTAATTTCTGTATAAGATTCTAAGTAAATTTTTTTTAAAAGAGTCTATAAGAATTTTTCTCCAAATCGATTCACCTTGATGGCATCACATCTGAAAGTCATTTTTTTACTTTTTTCACATAATTTTGAAAATATTAAGAAATTCGCTTGTCTTTAAAGAAAAGAGTGCACAGTTTACAAGATATTTAATAGTCATTGAATCGAATTTAAGACAAGCTAATCTCAAGAAAACAGAAATTTATCAAATTTTTAAATATTAAATTGTTTATATCTTGTAAACTGTACACTTTAGCGATACAAAGGTAATGACTTTTTTGTAGATAATTAAATTTTCTCTCTCCTATAAAATGATTCGGTAAGACAAGCCATTCTCTTAATATTTTTAAAAATATGCAAAATATGTTTTGAACAATATTTTCGAGTTTCGGTAAAAAACAAAGAATAGTTTTCGAGTTAATTTTTTTTCTTTAAAATTTGAGAAATGCGTATGAGGCGCCGTAAGTGTCAAAATTAAAAGTGCTATATAAAATTATTTTGTTTTATAAATAATTAATTATATGCTTTATAAAATTATTATTATTTTTGATTCGCAGAAAATTATTTTATAAAAAAATAATTTTATATAAAAAAATATTTTATAAGAAAATAATTTTATAAAAAAATAATTTTATAAAGAAATAATTTTATAAAAAAAAATTATTTTATAAAGAAATAATTTTATAAAAAAAATTATTTTATAAAAAAAATTATTTTATAAAAAAAAATTATTTTATAAAAAAATAATTTTATAAAAAAAATTATTTTATAAAAAAATTATTTTATTAAAAACATTATTTTATAAAGAAATAATTTTATAAAAAAAAATTATTTTATAAAAGACGACGGGCGCATTTATAAATTAATTTTTACTGCAGCCATCTCTATTTTTTTGTAGACACTCGAGTAAACCCGAGTGAACCCGAACGCCCCTCCTCAGATACAATTTTATGACGGACTGGGCTTTTGTTTGACGCAATTTGGGGAAACGATTGAAAATAATAATTTATTATTTTTATTAATTAATTAATTAATTTTTTTATCTACATTTATTTTGATTTTTAGTTTTTAATAAGAATTCTGTTCCTTTAACTAATAATTAACTGTTAAAATCTATAAACAGCACTACGGTGTTCGTATTGTTCATCTTTTACGGGAGGAAGGGAGAAAGGAGGAAGGCAATCTTTAAATTAGGCTTTTGTCGCCAACAAAATTCGCATGCGAGTCCCGGGGACTCAGGTGTCGAATTAAAGGTTAAGTTAATTTACTTTTAAAAATTCAGATATTTAAAATGTAACGTAATCACTTTTAACAGTTAATTATTAGTTAAAGGTGTAAATCATTATTTGTTTTGCATTTAACTAAAAGTGCTTTCTTATAAAAAACGTTTAAACATAAAGAATTCTTGTTAAAAACTAAAAATCAAAATAAATGTAGATAAAAAAATTAATTAATTAATTAATAAAAATAAAATAAAGGGGCGTTCGGGTTCACTCGGGTTTACTCGAGTGTCTACAAACAAATAGAGATGGCTGCAGTAAAAATTAATTTATAAATGCGCCCGTCGTCTTTTATAAAATAATTTTTTTTATAAAATTATTTTTTTATAAAATAATTTTTTCTATAAAATTATTTTTTTTTATAAAATTATTTCTTTATAAAATAATTTTTTATTATAAAATTATTTTTTTATAAAATAATTTTTTTTATAAAATTATTTCTATAGATATAAAATAATTTTTTTATAAAATTATTTTTTTATAAAAAAAATTTTAATGTAAAATTATTTTTTTATATATATATACAGGGTGTTTCACATTCGTGGACCATTAGAAGTTTCTGGGGAACGGAAAAAGATATCGATTTGAAATTTTAAAAGCGTTTATAAAAAAACTATTTTTCTAAAATATTTTGAACAAAATTCCACTTCCGGTTTAACCGGAAGTGACATCAACTTTGTTATTTCAAATAGAACACCCCATATATTTTTTCATTTTTAAGTTCTACATAAAATTCTGAGGAAAATTACTATACCATGTCCTATACCTAAAGTGAATAGTTTTCGAGTTATTAATTTTTTTCGTTAAAATTTGACAAATGCTCGGCAATCAAAAATAGCCTATAACTTTTTTGTTATTAGGTTTGCGAATATGGGGGTGGAATTTTTGGAATCCTAAAACATTGTTTAAAAGATTACATGTTAATTCTTTAACATTTTTTAACAAATTACCTAAGAAAACCCAGGGCAAATTAGGCTAACTTGAAAGGTTAATAACTTTTTTATTTTAAATGTAACACCCGGTATGTTTTTACATAATCACACAGTAAATTAAAAAATCTTTCGATTGATGTTACTATTCCCTATACCTAAAGTTAATAATTTTAGAGATATTTAGCAATTCCTAAAATTTTAAATATTATTTTGTATCAAGAAACCTGTGACGGGTGAGTTGGCGGTATCTATGGTTACCACGTAATCTCTCATTGTTTAAAATTTAATGGCGTCAATTTATAGTTTTTTAAATAATTAAGTGTTTTGAAAGCGAAATTACTGATAAAAAAATAGCAGTCACTGACTCATAAAAAACATTGACAAGCCAAACATTTTTAAAATTTAAAAGTAATAACCCAAAAAATCAACAAAACTGTAGGATGTCTTCCACATGAAGCACTAGCTTATTGAAGACATTAAAAAATTAAATGCCAACCTGATTTAATAATTATAAAATATTTTAATAATAAAAAAAATTTAATAAACCAACAATTAACAATTTTTATTACCAATAACCTATCTAATTTTTAATAAATGTTCAAAGTGTCCTCCATTTATATTCAAGCATTTTCTAATTCTCACTTCTACATTTGACGTTGCTTTTCCTAACTCTTCTGGGTCTAATTCTTGAAAAGCAGCCTGGACACGGTTTCGTAGTTCGTCTTTTGAAGGCAGTTAAACCGGAAGTGGAATTTTGTTCAAAATATTTTAGAAAAATAGTTTTAAATGGATTATAAACGCTTTTAAAATTTCAAATCGATATCTTTTTCCGTTCCCCAGAAACTTCTAATGGTCCACGAATGTGAAACACCCTGTATATAAACTTTTTTTATAAAATAATTTTCTGCGAATCAAAAATAATAATAATTTTATAAAGCATATAATTAATTATTTATAAAACAAAATAAGTTTATTTAGCACTTTTAATTTTGACACAAACGGCGCCTCATAAATGCGCGTCAATCATAAATATCCCATAACTTTTTTTTTCGATGTTTTGAACAATATTTTGGAGTTTCGGTAAAAAAAAAGATTAGTTTTCGAGTTATTAATTTTTTTTCTTTAAAATTTGACTAATACGCGTCAATCATACAAAGCCCATAACTTTTTTGTCATTAGATTTGCGGATAGGGCATTGGAATTTTTGGAATCTTAAAACATTGTTTAAAATATTTCATGTCAATTCTTAAACATTTTGCAACAAATTACCCTAAAAACCCAGGGAAATTAGGCTAACTTGAAAAATTTATTTTAAATGTTACACCCGTTATTACATACTCAAATAGTAAATTAAAAAACCTTTCGATTAATGTTACTTTTCCCTATACCTAAAGTCAATAATTTTAGAGATATTAACAATTTCTAAAATTTTAAATATTATTTTGTAACAAGAAACCTGTGACGGGTAAGTCTATGGTTACGACGCAATCTGTCATTGTACATTTTTTAGGTTATAAACATTTAGTTTTGTAAACAAAATTACTAATAAAAAATAGCAGTCAGTGACTTATAAAAAACATTGACAAACAAAACATTAAAAAAAAAATCTACTCCCACCTTTAAAACGCCCATTATAGTACATGTTTCACACACTAAGTGACCTTTTAAACACATTGACAAGTTGTGGCTTTATGACGCTTTAGTCACGGGCTGAAGTTAGCAACAGGTTTTTAGTCACGGGCTGAAGTTAGTTTTAAGTTAATTGATAGTTGTCAAATGTCATACAATCGTTAAAATAAAGTGCCTTCCTTTTAAAATAATACTAAATGTGAAAATTATTTTATTATTTCAATACAAAAATACAAAAGTATTAAATAGTTTGTTAACGCCAATACTTGAAAAGTTTATATGAACATTGTACTGACCTTTTAATTTTGCCGGCAGAAAACTATAACTTAAATTCGGGCTCGGACTCCACTGTGAAGTGCTCATAAAACATTTTCTTTACTTTCACTGTGAAAAACTGTTGTAAACCCATTTTCAAGGAATACATTTCGATTTATAACCTTTAAAAATTTGACACTTGAAGGTAACGCAGATTCCCATATTGTTTTATAGATGGCATTAATTAATCATTAATTTAAGCACTCGCTCGCAAGCTCGCTCGTGCCTAAATTAAATTCGTGTATAAAATGGCGTTTATCAAACTTGATACATAATATACTTTTAAAGTATTTGCTGATTTTGAAAAAATCATTGAAGAAGAATAAAATATAAAAAAAAATTATAAAATATTGTATCAACAAAAGGAATGCGTAACTGTAACATTTTAATAAACCAACAATATTTTAATTACTAATTTATTACTAAATGTTTAAAGTATCTTCTATTTACATTCAAGCATTTCTTCTTGACTAAAATATTGTTGAGTTCATAATTTAAGAAATATTTCACAAATTCTAGTATATACTATAGGGAATAGTTTATCAATCGAATGTTTTTTTAATTACTATTTGATTATGTAAAAATAAACCGGGGGTGTAACATTTAAA